GAGACGCCGGTCAAGATCAATCTGCTCAAGTTCTTGAGCGCCTGGAGCATCCGAGGCTCCAACTATATGGACTGCTTCGAGTCCAACGAAAGCCAAGGCGTACGTTCAAACACACAGCGGAGAATCTAAAGTGTTCAGATTTGGACTTCCATCAAACATTTCTCGAAAAATATGCCTCACAAGTCATTTCTAGCATTTTTGAGGAAAAATTTGGATTTTTTATGATAAAATTTTGTTGTACTACAAGAAAAAAACTCCATGGCAAAAATAATGAATGTATTATTGGACTGCCAAAACCTTACTTGCCATTATGAAGGAAATATGTTTTCCCTGACAGAAAGTTAATGCATTGTGAATTAAAAAAAAACAAAATCTGATTTTCTGTGACAATGTCATATTTCTAAGAAAATGTCACAGTACCATGAAGACAAAATTTAAAAACAATTTTGAAAGAAAAAAATCTTAATAATCCGTCAAAAAAGGAAAATGTATCGTATTATGAGGGAGACGTGTGACACAGTCAGATTTGTTGGATGAGGGAAAAAAGCGATATCCTGTGACAATTTTTTCAAGAAAATTATGAGGGGGCGTGGGGAAGTCAGGTTTTTGAAAGTCACAAGTTGGAATATTAAGATATCCTTTATTTGTCCCACACTGGGGACATTTACAATTATGTAGTTTTTTTAATAGTAGTAATTATGTAGTTAAAGTATGATTTCAGTGACAATAATTCAGATTATATGTATTTGATCAGTATCACTTTGCAACCATTGCTGCTGTGAGGCAGTTCTTTATTTTGGCTTTATGGTCGTACTTAAGTTTTTCATTTTACCTACATGCAGGAGTGTGGACACCATTGGGAATTTTGGGAGGTTCCCGTACGGCTAGTCTATTCCCTGCCAGCAATGCCCCACTTCCTCCCACAACCCGATGAATGCCTTTAGCGCATATTGCTCACCATCTGCATCTCCTCGTCGATAAATATTCTCGGGCCAGTTTTTGGGCCCCAGTACTTCCCTGCATACAAGCTCTTTAAAACGTTGCCTGTAGACTTTATAAAGATGACGATAGATTTGTCACTGACATTCCTTCCTTTGGGGAAAAATAAAAAGACTACATTCCACTTCGGAGGTTCAGCTGTAGATGCGTCCATGCTCACAAGGTGATGCCGGTTTGGGTTGTAGACGTTGTTCCACATCGCCAGAAAGCATCCGGGGGAGTACATCGACCACAAGTTCAAAGGGGCGGCCATCGGCATGTTCCACCACATCAACACCTACGAGGACAACGGCTTCGTTGTGTTTGACCTGTGCGCGTGGAAGGGGTGAGAGGCTGAAATGTCATCTACGCGTTCACTTTGACACCGTTGTCATCCTTCCTGTTTATTGCGTGCATCAGCTTTGAGTTTGTGTACAACTACCTGTGGCTGGCCAACCTGAGAGCCAACTGGGAGGAGGTGAAGCAGGCGGCCATGATTGCGCCCCAGCCGGAAGTTCGCAGATACGTCATTCCCTTGGACGTCCATAAGGTCAGTCACGACGCCGAGAGAGTAGACCTTGGTTTGAGAAAGTCAGGGAATTACACAATACGTTCTCCCGCCCTGTTGTGTCAAAAGCAATTGTCGCTGTCCGAAAGGTTTTTTTGCTTTGAAATGTCATGCCACAACCTGGTGCTGTTGCCATCTATCAGAGGATGCAGTTACCGCAGCAGCAGCAGCTTCTGGTGTGACACACAATGCTTGTTGGAGAGTTAACAGTTGCTTTCAACAGGCAGCAGCGGATGAGCAAAATGCGTCACACGGTGCGAAAGAGGCTTTTCATTGATTTATGTACGTGCTACAGGAAGAGCAAGGGAAGAACTTGGTGAGCTTGCCTTATACCACAGCCACAGCGGTCATGCACGCTGACGGCACCATCTGGCTGGAGCCTGAGGTGCTCTTCGCTGGACCTCGCCAGGGTACAAGAGAGCGATCCACTCACTCTTGACA